TATGTATGGTGTACAATTCAACCATTAAATTTATTAATTATTTTTAAATGTGGCAAAACACATAATCGTCGTCACAGACTTTTGCAAAGCAAACATCAATATACTTATACAATTTCACTAACGCAACATGAGCAGTTGAATTAAAAAATCGTGAACGTAAAAATTAATATTCAACGATTTTCGATGATAGCACGATGTGAGAATTTATAAACCTTTAGGTAAAATTTAGGTTGCTATCATAACTTTTAATCTTGAGATGGGCAGTTGAGAGTTGGTATACGATCATGGAAGCGAGACTTGCTCTGCAAATCAAGACTGCGAATTAAATACGTTGTTACTGTATTTACTATTTTAACAATATCGGAGTAAATTACTGCCGGAAAGATAATATATGTAAAACAAAAAATCCATTATCCTAACAAATATATATTAGAAAAAAAAAAATTGCAAGGTTTAAGAACATATAAGCCTACGCATAGTGCGCTAACTACTCGAATACAGTTCTCTGCGCAAAGTAATTACTACTTCACACACGAGTGTTCGCATACCGATGATTAGTGGAAAAGTTGAGCAGACGGTATTTTACTCAGCTTGTGATGTGATTTTCATTTAATAATTTATACTCGCGCGTAAATTACAAGATTTGTGCACTCGTTTTATAATATACTATTATATACATTTATATTACATGAATCAATTCGAAGGAACACATATATAACGACTGCAGTTTTCGACAAGAACGTTTTGCGGAAAACTTAACTTGTCGACTATGAGGAGAGAAAAGGTGCATTATATCCTTTTATTTTAAGTAAGAATCAAATTTACGGCGAAGTCACGACGCTGTGACATGTTTATGTTAATAGTTACTTGCAGTTACTTAAACGGTGAATAAAAAAATAAAATTTATGTTGAATTTTATTCTATAACTTTTATGTTGGACTGCAGTTATTTATTTCATTGCACCTATATAAATCGTTTGATTACGGTTATACTGATTGGATAGTACGTGAAAAAAATTACTGCAGTAATTTTTACTACAAAAACTGCGTTTCTGAAGATTTTTTTATACGCCGTGGATATTACAGTATTTTACCTCCAAAAAATAATTGTATGAAATGTAAGATGTAAAGAAAACAAATATTATTTTTCAGTTCAAGTATCTACAATTTGTCTTCTATATTGAGTACTAAAGTATTTCTAATACATCACTTTCAAGTTCAAGGGATTTCAGGCTAATGCATTACTTTACAGTATCCAATTTGAAAGAATGAAATCAAGAGATTTAAATTTTTTAGCAACTGTAGTTTTAGTTATTTTGCAATCATTTGTAAGAAAAATCATATAGGAGAATTAATTTGATACAGTAAATTTTATTTGTTTTTCCGTACCAGTAACCTACACCTACATATTATTCGTAACTTGAAATTAGAAAAGAGTTTTTGAAATGGTTTCAGAAAAAATTATTCATTTTAATCCCTAAAATACAAAAATGAGTTTTAAAAGAGGAAATCAACATTCAATCCCGAAATTTTCATGGTTACAACTGAAAGAAAATGAAAAAAAAAAAANGTGAAAAAAAATACAGACAAATAAAAAAACGGCACGAATAACGGGTCGTGGCTCGAAGGAAAAAAAAAAAAAAAAAATTATCAAACGTTACATAGACATAAGAACACTTGATACGATACTTCAGCGCATGGTTAGTCGTAGCTATACGTATACGTACATATAAAATGTCTATACAGTTAATATCGATCGATGTAACGGGCTGGTGATTTCGACACGAATTTCTATACGTACGTGGAGATTAAAGTGTGGTTTTACCTTAAATATTATACGAGGACAAAAGCATCGTATCAGGTAGCTATGTTAACTAATGAAACATTTAAAAATATTCAATTACGTTTTGTACCATAAATAGGCAGTACATCATTCAACGTATGAATGCACGATTTTATAATAACTACTTTCATATAATAATTGTTTTCATGTTTTCTTTGAAAAAATATAATGTAAGTGCTCATTTCAAATAAATATGCGTATATTAATTTATAGATAGTTCCTTTGGTTATCAAAACTAAATAAATTCATCCTACCATATCATTCTACGAAATTCGAAGAGCATCAAGGCCAGAGTAACGGTACAGCTTTAAGTATACTTTTATTGTTTGATTCACACTAGTTCGCGTTTAATGAACTCTAATTTGTTCGCAACTAGGCATGGCTGCACTTTAAGAAGCAACAAGTAGCACATGGATTTTTTATTTAAGAAGACCGAGAGTAACATTACCCAACAAGAAATGACCGATAGACAGCCGTAGCTCAACACCAGGCCCTGGCCAGTATTGTAATGAGTTTATATGTGTATGTACACATACGCACGCACATACGCTTCCATTAATCTTCTGTTTGTTTATGCTTGTTCATTCGTTTCTTAATCTATACACTAAACGAATTATGAGTGAAAAAGTTGAACGACTAAAAGGCAAAATTCTGAGAATGTCCAAATTTTGAGACTAAAAAATTAAGCTTAATATAGTATGATTACTATACGAATGCGAGTGAAACAAATAATCAACGTTGGACCGATTTTCAAGTA